AGTTACATTTAATGTTGGATCGTGTAATTTTGAACGGAATCTAAATATTTTTTTACGATTAATACAAAAATAACTAGTTCTCAGCTACCATCTCATGACATTGATTTTAAGTGCTTACTTGACTTAATATCCTGTGTCTCCTAGATGGGACAGAGGGCATCCACTGAAGTTCTCCATCACGATCTATCTTGAGCTTTATGCTCCACCTCACTCCACCTCATTCCAGGCCAAGACTTGCTTGGATATGTGGTACCCCTTGGGAGCGTGTAGCTTTTCTTTATCGGAGAAGTCATTCGATGATTCCATTCGATATCCCGCGGTGCCGATTGTCAGTGGTGCGAAGAATAATCCCACCCAGAACGACCAAGAAGAGAAGCGGCGATAAGAGGCAGTCTTGTCGGGACCAGAAGCTAGACCACTTCAACGTATCAAAGGCCTTTTCGAAGTCAATAAAAGTAAGATAAATCTTCCTTTGCCATTCTGTTGCTTGCACCAAAATGACACGAAGAGTGTTGATCTAGTCCGTAGATGAACGGTTCGATTGAAAACCGGAAACGAAAAAAGGTTTCCGATTAATTTTAAGCAGTGATGAGAAAAAATTGTGTGGTTCGGAATATCACCTCTCCTAAAGTTGAAGAACTACTGGATTAACGCGTGCTCGTTTGTCTCATATTCCATAAAAGAAACTCTATTCATCCACCCAGTTCCAAGTGCCAATCGAATAAGAAGTAGGTAAAGACGTTCATTATACTGAACCCCTACCATCAGTTTGCTTCCGCCTATTAATTGATACACAAAGTTAAAACAAAATCAACACCATATTGCACGATTGTGTGCGCTTCCGAGATTATTTTCATACGAAAATAGTTTATCAGAAGTTAATTTTAGTATGTCTGTGAAACAACCTTCGTTGTGTGTATCATTTAAGTACTGATTATTTAGTAAACATTTTGTTGATCAAGTAAACATTTCTGTTGAAATGATGTCTCCTAACTCGTTGTCTGATACTCGTTGAATAACGCATGTTTCACTGATAAAAAAATTAAACAAATGAACCAAACGAACTCTCCTACCAAGCAATCTGTATCACATTGAACTTCTATGAATATTAGATTAATATGAAACCTGGCTTCAAAAATTAAAAGTAACCCTCTAACAATTTACACTAGACATAGAGAAATTCCTCAATGCTTTTCCTCCTAAAACGCTTAATTTTTCCTGAATCGCTTTCCATTTAACCCCTTCATTCAAAACAACCCGAAAAAACAATAAACCTACCAATGTTTACCCAGCATTTCAGTACCAACGAACTTAAGAAGATTCTATTAACTCTTAGTGACGTTAGGAAAATACCACCTTTACGTGTATAGCTTGTATTGCAAATAAAACAGTCTAGCCGGTTAATATGTGGTCGGCGAAACTATTATAGGGTTACGACCCGCTACGTACTGTCGGTAGTAAAACGAAAGAAAGTGTATAAACACTAAGATAATATGTGTTCATCTTAGAATACGAGAAAAACGCCAGTATATTGCACGTTTCTCTTTCAAATTATATCCAAAACGTCGAGTTATTTCTTTATAAGGAGATGGTAGTGTTTTTCTAGGAAATGTAGTCTATAATACATACAAATTGCATTCAAAGGACTTATTATTTACCAACTGCGAGGTACGTAAATAAACGCATGTCTTCATTTCATGAAATAAGGCAATCACCACATAAATATTAAATGTTATGTAAAAATATTTATAAGATCAGGTGGTTTCAATACTGACTGTGGAATATTTTGAACTTTCTTCCTATTTGTACCTATTATGTTCCTGTACATAAATCAATCGAATAATTGAATTGTATCATCGTTTCTACGCTTCAATTGAAACCAAATAAAGCAAGATAATGTTGTTTATTATTTCCTGGATACTCAATGGTAATTTTGCTTGGAGCCCTTTATATAATAATTCACTTACAGAAAGAGCAACTCGCTGTTAAATCAGTTCCTTTTAGAACTCGAGGGAAAATTCAATTAGAACGATTTCATTCGAAATTAACAAATAATTAGATCAATCAGATGCAAGAATATTAGATCAAATGAGTTCATATTAACATTATAATGATATATCAGAGTATTGTATGTAAGTAGTAACAATAGGTGGTAAATAAAATTCAATATTTTATGTGGTTACTAACCACCTTGCCATTTAAAATTTATTAATCAAATCACAGGGTCAAAAGTACAGAGCCAGGTTCGTCGTAAAGTACACAATCGCTTACATCTAGGAGGAGCAGTCTCTTGGGTAAGGACATCGTGACGACTTGGTGGTCTAATTTACAATTATAAATGTGTCGTCCAACGATGTTTAGTGAAGATCAAAATCAGAACTATGAGCAATGCACAGGCCAATGCATACAACGTCCACACAAAATGCACAGGCGCTTTATACAAAGCTGGAACATTGCAATAGTTGTGATCAAGATAACAGCTTTGTACAAATGGAAATGAGGAATTATAAATACAATGATGGCAGAATCAATCGTCCAATGAACAGCGTGAGGTCGTCGTGATGTTGTCTGATAGAATGCCGTCTAGGCAGCAGGCTTCTCGTCAGAGACGACGGTGGCGCCCGTCGCCACGGAGCCGCCCTCATCAGGTGACACCGTGCACGCAAGTGCGGGGAACTTCTGGTACAAAACAGCACGGTACTTAGGGTGGCTGATACCATATACAATAGGATTGTACACGGCATTAGCCTTGGCAAACAGTGATCCCCAGATAGTGGCCAGAGGACTGATAGGTGCACTCTCGAACACTCCGGTATAGTTGATCACCAGGTAGGGGGTCCACGCCATGAACCACAGAGAGATGGTCATCAGAGCTACTTTAGCCAATTTGCACTCAGCGCTGGTATTAGCTGCTTCAGATGATCTAAGCGAAGCCACGTTCATTTTCTTAGCTTGGTCCCTCATAGCTTTTTCGTGAGCCGATACAGCCTGGACAATGAAGTAGTAAGAGTAGATGATAAGCAGAAGAGGCAAGAAATACACGAAGACTGAGTAGACAATGATGTAGCTTCGGCTTAAGAAGTCCTTAGACAAGTAGTCAGTTCCGCAAGCAGTCATGTTTCCCTCGGGTACGTAACGGTTCCACCCAAAGAATGGAGCAAGAGTCCATGCGAGCGAGAACAGCCAGATTCCGAGGATGCGTTGTAGAGCTCCAGACTTGGTCATAGGCTTGGCGGCGATACCCTTCACGATGACATTGTAGCGGTCGAAAGCAATCATGGTCATGGTCCAAATAGATGCACATCCAAATAATGAGCCAGCGCAGCCGTAGAGTTCACAGGCAAACGGACCAAACACCCATGTTTCGTTGTAACAATTTATTACCATAGCCGGGGCCATCGCGCACATCATCAGGAAGTCGGAGAAAGCGAGGTTGACTACAAGTAAGTTCGATGGTGTCTTCAAGCTTTTAGTCGTTGAGAATATGTAGATTACCATGCCGTTGCCAGCAATTGAGACGAATCCCAAAACGCCGATAGTGAAGCCGAGGATAGCGTGCCAGAGTGGGTTCATTGGTGGAAACTGGTACCAATGGGCGTCGACCATGTGGAGCATGTCGGCGGATACTTTGTCGACGACGGTTTGATTGGCTACTCCATGCGCCACGTTTTGAGCTCCCCATCCTTGCAGAGCTGCCATTCCTGGACCGTGATCTGCCATCGCCATTTTTGTTGATGGTGGTTTTTGAGTTGAGAAGGATTCTCGGCCGGAGATGGTTATTACAAGGTACTGGAGAAAATCGTTAGACGAACTACTCCAGACTGTAAGGTAACCAAACCCACAATGGGATCCTGCCGAGGCTGTGGAGACTACTCGATGTTTGCCGTTCCTCCAACGTCTTATATAGTCAAACCTTAAGGATTAAACATGACGTCGCCAAGGAAATCGATATTCATAATTAGATATACGAATCTAAGAAGGTAAACTCAAGACTTAGTAAAATTAGTGTAGCAGGGATAGGCTCGTGTTGTCTTCAAGGTTCCGTAGCAACATTACATTAACTTAAATATATGTTATAGGTATTTTACACTATTTTCTTGTATTTAACATGTTCAATTGGGGTAATGCAAACAGGCATGCTATGCACTATATAATAGGTGCCTATATTATACTACCTATGCCTGGGAAAATCGCCAATCATTCATTCTGGATTTTCTTTGTTCGTTTTCAAATGATGACATGAATTCTCTCAATTCGATTACTTACCTAAGTGTTTTTACAATAGAGTCTCACATGCAGACCTGTTGATTGCCTCTTTATTGCCCTATTGCAAAGAATCTTGAGATTGATTCCCAGGTCAAGCTAATATGCATTTATAGGGCATTTCTACTTTCAAAATTATCACAAAGCAATAGCGCACCTTCTGTATGGGACTTAAAAATAATTAAGTACTTACTTTTCGCTTAAAGTGAAATATCATGCATCTTATCTAATTATCTTCTAAAAACGACGCATGACGAGTTGATACCGCTCCTTGTGCTTAAATCGTTAAGCCACCCCTACTGATTTGCAATTCCCATGTCGAGCAAGAACTAAGATACCTTTTTTCAAATAATTCTCATTAAAAGCACCGTGTGCCTCTCTATCTAACTCTCTGGATATTAAAAGGTGCTATGTTGTGTTATGATATTACTGTATTAGTGAAGATATTTGACGAAACTCCTTGACCCCATATTGGTAATCGTAATTTGATCAGCTGAAAGTAGGAGTACCAAACCATAATACGTGCGTAATTTAATATGCCCACCCTAATTATTTTAAAACAAGTAATTAATGAATAGATTAAACATCATCACATCGTAAATTAATTTTACTTGTTTGATAACGTACTATCTATAAGGTTAAAAACATATTATTTGCTAAAAACAAAACGTTGGAGTACAAAATGTGCTGTAGTCAATGCGTGAAATGAAACGGTTCTGACAAAAATGACAAATGATGCAATCTGTACGTCAGTTCATTTTGACAAGTAACGTGAGTCTATGTGTCACGCAGTATTGCAGTTTGCATCGCTTTCGCTAAACAATCTTGTATTAAATTTGCCTTCAAATCAATGGTGTGTTTATAAATCGTCAATATCAGCTATCTTCGGACTGTCTGCCAGTAGTCGACGAAGTCCAACATCGGCTCTGACCTCAAATTAGGTTAGTATTGACGATGTGTTAACAAGTACTTTTTGTAGGTCTTGTTATGGTTTTGGGCTATATCCGCGGATTTTTACGTAAAATGAGTTCATCCGCTTCGGTGCCCTTGGCACCCATCGGCGTGCGCGGTATGAAAGTGCTAGATCGAGATAAATTCTTGCGCAACGTAAAAGTGCCAGTTCTAAAGGTCAAAGAAGAAAATTTGTCTAAAATCATACGAATCTGTAAACCTTACTTCCTTAAATTAGAAAGTTTTAAGACCATAACGAGTATAGAAGACGAAGAACTCAAGAAATGCATCTTTTTCAACCCCGAGAAAGTGAGTCAGTGGACTGACATTGATGAAAGTGACAGAACAGCTTTGTGTGAACTGAACATCAAAGAAGCTAATTTTGGTGACAAGGAGATCCAACTCACGTATGACAATTGGCGTTTCGAAGCAATATTCAAAGCAGTTCTCCCTGAGAATGAGGAAGGAGTGAGTGGTTTCTCGCAAATAGGCCACATTATACATCTGAACTTAAAAGAACACCTGCTTGAATACCGGCCTCTGATTGGTCAGGTGCTGGTTGACAAAGTAAAGACATGTAAGACTGTTGTAAATAAATGCAATGCCATAGACAACACATACAGAAACTTCAGTATGGAATTAATTGGAGGTGAAGAAGACTACTTTGTAACTGTTAAAGAAAACAACTGTATATTCCAGTTTGATTTCTCTAAAGTTTACTGGAATCCTCGATTAGGAAAAGAACATGAAAGAATCCTTAGTTTCCTAAAATCTGGAGATGTTCTCTTTGATATATTCTGTGGAGTTGGCCCCTTTGCTGTTCCTGCTGCCAAAAGAAAAACGAAAGTGTTTGCCAATGACCTTAACCCAGATTCTTTTAAATGGTTGAATCACAATGCTAAGAACAACAAAATTAACTCGGTATATTTCAAATCTTTCAATAAAGACGGGAAGGATTTTATTTTGGAAGAATTCAAGGATTATATCATTGACCTATGTAATAGTAAAGAACAACTAAATGGAAAGGTCCATGTTACTATGAATTTACCTGCTATGGCAGTGGAATTCTTAAAACATTTCAATGGATTAATAAAAGATGAGAAACTGTTTGACAAGTTTAATAAGGAAATTATTGTATATGTCTACTGCTTTGCTTTGGGCGAAGACCATGTTGAAATTGCCAAGAAAATGGTGATTGAAAACATTGGATGTGATGTTTCTTCGCTCATAACTGACGTGTTTAATGTGCGGAATGTTGCTCCCAACAAGGAAATGATGAGAGTGACTCTTAAGTTAACCAAAGAGGTTTTGTTCAGTGGGAACTTAAGTGACAGTGTAAGTGAACCTCCTTCGAAAAAAGTGTGTGTGTAACAGGACACAGATAATATATTTTTTGTATTCTGTGGTGTGTAAAGAGTTTATATTTTTGTTACATTTGTTATCACTTCAAGTGCCTCGAAAAATGATGTAATAAAGTACTGGAAATATCACTTTCTTTTTTCTTATCTTGTTATTTTTATCATTAAAGATTATGTTGCTCTGTTGGTCAAGTATCAAGTGCAATTGTGAAACAATGTATGCAAATCCTTGATTCTAAGGTCAAGTATATCTATTATTGAGTCTTTCCATTATGGAAAATTCTTAGTAGTCAATAGCTTTGGAGTCTAGGATTATGTTTAGTCTTAGACTTCCCCCTATTACATGAATATAATTACTGATGTGAAATTGCCTGCCTTATGTCATGTCATGACGAAAATAGAAAGAATAGCTCCATCACATTTGTTTTTAAAAGTACTGACTCATCTTTGTCTTGAAGTAATTGTACTTCTGCATAATCACTGCTGTTATCAGTTAAGTATATGTTCGTAATCAGCACAAAATCCTCAATACACAAGTCATATAGTCTGATAGTGACTTTTCAATCACTGACACTATATTTTAAAGTATCTAGGAAATATTTTTATCTGATGTTATTTTTGAATGGGCGGTAACGTGACTTATCGTTGGTCGACTCGCAAGTCCGATTGCCGACCAAGAGATCTTGCGTTAGACTCCCAGTAGACCCAGTTCGCAATTCGGTATCAAAAATAGGCAATTTTGTCCTAATCAGGATGGTGACGAAAATAGTGTCACATTTCATTAATTAATTTTTTAAAGTTGTTTTGTTGGAAATTTACAGTCAAGCTTATGTTTGCTTATGAGCAATCACTTCTAGAAGAAATTACAAAAAATATCGTAAGTGCAATAGACGTTGACTTAAAATAAATGAAGAAAAGTTAATCAATGTCTAATATTCTTTATTAAGCATTGTAACGAACAGTATTACATTTTTCTAATACATACCTTTATCATTTGTGTACAATATAAATGAACATGTGATTATTTAGCCTCAGAACTACTTGCAAGCTCCGACCAACATTTTTATGACGAGTGGAAACCTTCACAAGACGTCTAACTTTCTGGGAAAAAAACCTAGGGCGTGTGGTAGCTTAACTTTTTTGTGGGACAAGCCGGTAAACGAGCAGACGGATCACCTGATGGCAAGCAATCGGCGTCACTCATGGACACCTGGAACACCAGAGGCGTTAGAAGTACATTACCGGTCTGTTGGAGATTAGGAATTTGAGGATTCAGGAATTGCGGAGATTGTGGAAGGGGGGGAATGGGCCTCCAGTAACTCCACTCACACGACAAAACACAACGCTAGCGTTGTTTCACGTCGGTTTTCTGTGAGGCTCACTGCGGTCGAGCCGGCCGATTCGTGCCGAAGCATGGCTCTCCCACACTTCCACACTAACTAAAACCATCGCTGGTGGCTACCATCAGCATCTATACCTATAGCCGCGTGGCTCTAAATCCTTGCGTTTTAGTGATCCGTGGAAAACCGTCTTTAAAAAGACCAACACGTTTTACGTCTACCTCTAAAAAGACCAAAGTTTTTAGAGAACAAAATCATTGTTACTGAAGGTGTAGAGCATTGAAGAGAAATTCGTACTGAAGGTTAGAGTGGCAGTTGGTAGAATTACGTCCTACCTACCTAAAAAACTCAGGTAGATTGTTATTGAGTATGTAAGAAATAAAACCGTAACTTATCTTCAAATACACGCTACGATCGAGGAAATTCGAAGGACAGGAAGGTCTATAAACTAATAATAATAAATAATATGAGTAATAAAATTAAGTGGGACATACTTAGAATCCTGCATTCAACACAATTTTTCAACTAAAGTTTTTTAGTTAGGTATTACCAGTGACCTTATCAACTGTTCAAACATATCTACTCTGAGTAATTATTTGTTTCTGCATACATTTCCTTCGGAACGAACCATTCAGGCAGCGCCCCGTGGCGAACGTCGGAAATTAATTCATCAATTAATCTTGAAACTGCTTTTGTAACTGTATACCGCGGTGTTACTTGCCTAAATTAATGATTTCATTTGAAATTTTTCTTACATGATTTCAACATTAATATCAGCCCCTTACCGTCTGTCCACTGCTGAACCTCTGCTGTGCCTGCTGCTGGGTCTCTCCAACAGCAAGCACCTGATCCTAGTACCTATTCAAACTGATTAGTTTAGCTTATGAGGACATGCAATATCCAAAAATTTTACCAAAGCCCCTAAAATGCTAACCTAAAAAGTTCAATGGAAAACGAATAAAATAAGACCTCCATGGGCCTTTAATTGTCAGTGGTACCAACTATGATGATGATGATTATGATGATAAAATTGTATTGTTTGGTAACACGTTTAGACGCACGTGGTGAGATTAATAATACCGCTGATATCAGTTAGATAATAAATACTCTGGCTGATATAGCTAACTATAAGAGTAAAAGTCTCATTTGAGATTACTCTTATTAAAAAGCAACTTATTCAACATTTTTCAATACATTGTATGTGCACGCGAACATGCTATCTAAGGTCAAATGATGTGAATTGCTTCTCAAGCATGACGCCTTAAACAAAATAAATGTTATGAAGTAGATGACCACTCATCGCCATGGGAAAATAAACTTTATCTACAAACAACGAAAAACAATAAAAGAATAAAAACTCACACTAAAGCCTTACTTTAAACATAATTTGTGAGTCGCGGAGAACCTAACGGGTAACCGGGGCTCCGGCTCGACGTGCAGGAGAAGGAACGGGTTGGTTTTTAGTCAGTAAGAGTCTGACACTCCCTCCCGCCTCACCCAGGCGGGAGCAGTCATACGATGATTTTCTCACCATAAAAAAAATTCTTGAATAATATCTTAAATACCCACTGACTATCAAAAGGTCATACAAATTAACCAAAATACCGAATTCACATCAATAAAAATACTTACAAATGTGTATTATAAGTTTATCACAATGGGCGGCCTTGGTACGCGTAACAGACTGACATAAGAACAATACGAGGAATAAACATGATGTAGGTACCTATAATTGAGTAGAAGTTAAGTATAGTTTCCATTTGCAGTTCACAACGTGCGATGCTCCCGATCGGAGAGGTTTCAAATATGGACCTACTAGACATCGGAGAGGCTTTACAAGAATCTGAACAGGTATGAATGGATTTATAATTATTTATCTTTTTGTACAAGTTTTGTGGTCTGGATAAGTGAAACTTGGAAGCAGTTGAATTATAAAAAAGATTTATTTTTTAATTTTTCTAGTAGTGTCTTTATTTACTTAATTATACCTACTTAATTCGCTTACGAACAATTTAAAACGTTAACTTTGACTAATAGTGGAAGCATTAATTAAGGCATTAATTTTGCCTATGTACCACAAATATATTTCCCTATAAACTTTGCTTTTTTGACCTACGACTTTGGGAGACCATGATTCATTCAATTTAAACCTTTTTCCTTCTCCAGGTACTAAGAGAATGCTTCACAAAATACCAAATAGACGAGGTGTTCCTCTCATTCAACGGTGGAAAAGACTGCACAGTGCTCTTAGATTTAACTTTAAACGTTTTACGTGATATTTACAAAAGAGATGACATTGCCAGTGAATTAAAAGTGGTGTATATTCGGACTAATGGACCGTTCAGGGAAATTGAGACCTTCGTGGATGAGGTTAAGCAACATTATGATGTGACACTGCTTGTGACGGAAGGTGAAATGAAGAATACGCTGCAAAGACTGTTGGATCAGGACGAGAGACTGAAGGCTGTTCTCATGGGGACGCGGCGGACAGACCCTTACAGCGAGAATTTACAGTTTATGCAGGTAATTTTTATACAATATCTCCCATAACCATAATTATTTTAGAGTAGAGAATATATTTGTCGTAAGCCTTAACCTTAACTTCCCGCAGTTGTCGTAAGAGCCGACTACACATTTGATAGAGATCAGGCAGCAGTTGCTTCTGATAAACCTGATTATTTTAAACTGCCTTTTTCCTTTCCGCCTGCCGTCTCCTTCTTTTGCGAAGCAGTCTTGCTAGCTAAGGAGGTGGCGCTTCGCGTAAGGTAGCGAAGCCCCGCCTCCTAACAACCTAGCCTTCGCTAAGGACACTCCGGGCGTCGGGGATCGCGGGACGATCTCTGGCCCCCGTAAGCACGGGCCTGCGGACGGCGAGCATGGGTGACGCGCCGTCCGACTAGAACCAGACTCGAGCGTACGGCGCGTCGTATTCCGCGCGCGCCTCAAAGAGCCATCAGACTACCACGAATGGGGTCCTATAGGGCTAATGCCGATACGAAGCCGTGGAGGACTTAACTGGTTGTCGGGGCTTCGGTTCGAAGGGCAGGAATAGGAACGGGGTGGTTTTTGGTCCGTAAGAATCTAATGAGCTCCCGCCTCCCGTCATTCGATGATTTTCACCCTTAAAAAAAAGAAAAACATCTGCCTGCCAATCGCACAGATTATGGCAAATCCTTTTTATGTAGAGGAGGCGTATAGTCTGTCCAGCACCGGAATGCCACTGGCTGTTGATGTATCACAAGAGTTCTAAGAAAGCTAATATAACTTGCTTGTAATGAGTCATAGAAAATTCTGAAACATTATTGCTACAGTTCCCAGAAATGTCCATAACAACGGAATCGAGTATGTACACTCCCTGATCGATATAATTTGTCCGATAAGAGTGGACATGACAATATTAGAATTCTACGTATCCCATATCATATGTTTAATCAATATCTCACTTGTTGATTGCCTTATTAGTAGACAACAGCAACTGCTGAACAAGGACCTTCAGATGCGATTGCTAGGGTAACCAAAATATGTTTTTCAATACTAACTTAATTCTTAACTATAGAATAAAATTGACATTTGACAGTTTTTTTAGTATAGAAAAATCGTCAAATATTCAAAGTTATTCTTCTGATAAAATTTATCTGGCGTTGGATATATCGGCGGTTAAGCTTTTTGACCTTCAAAACTGTCACAGAGTTAGAGTTATCAGTCACTGTAGCATCCTTCTTTAATTACTAACCATGTTCCTACAACTCTTGTCCACAGAAAACAGACCCCAACTGGCCACAGATAGTTCGTGTCTCTCCTCTACTTAATTGGAGCTACCATCACATATGGAGTTACACCCTACAGCGACGAGTGCCATACTGCAGCTTATATGATAGAGGGTAAATCTTCAAATAGCATACTTATTACTTAAACTGTCAAATACCAAGCGGTCACCGGTGACCGCAACCTATTCTTCTATAATTGTGTCTACAAAACCGGTACTCGACGAGTTAAAAAACATTTAAGTAAAATTATTCTCAAATATTTTTTTAGGTATTGGGTACTTGCCAACTAGTCAAATTCAATACTTTCTTCGAAAAGTTAAAAACGACAGTTTTCTATGAATTTTGTACGAGATTGTGTATTGTGACGTCATGTTTTTTTAGCGTCAAACAACAAAAGTTTGCCTGACTAATAATAAATTAATGATAGTGTGATAATTTTTTAATATTTCATTATATTGAACAGTTTAAATTTATTTTTGATTAAGGAAAGTACCCAATTCACACTTTTTCACTTAGCTAAATGCCCTATTCTTACTACGTATGCAATTTGTATGACAGACTCTTGATGATGTCGAATGACTCTTAAAAATTCTAAACCGTATTTGCCGATGACCTAAGTACTTTTACTTATTATACTAGTTACCTAAATGTTTTCCAAATTCCAGCTACACGTCAATCGGCAGCATACACAACACATGGCCTAACCCCGCACTAGCGACAAAAGACGACTGCGGCTGCATCACGTACTTACCAGCATGGCACTTAACCGACGCTTCTCTAGAACGGGCGGGACGCGGCACTGCACCTAAGGTACCCGTCAATGGACACGCAACATATAGCAATGGTATTGAAAACAACCATATAAACGGTATAGACAGTAATCACAAAAGTAGCGATCATATACATCCGTCATGCGTATAACAGGATGTTAACGGTAAATAGTTACTAATTGTTTGTTTGTAGTATTGATGCAAAGTTCTGGAAATGTGTATGTGTGCGTAATTGCGCGGCTATAGTGCTTTCTAGATAATAATTGGCCTCCTAGAAAAATGGTATGTTTGACCTGAAGTGAATAGAAAAGTTTATATACATATACAGAAGTTTTCATGTCATCATCAATCTGACAATATGACTGCACGGTTGGCGCGGTGGCTGGGCTGCTGCCGCGCAACGTGTCGCGGGTTCGATTCCCGCACGGAACAACTCTTTGTGTGATCCACAGATTGTTGTTCCGGGTCTGGGTGTCATGTATATGTGATATTGTATGTTTGTAAACGCACCCACGATACAGGAGAAAATCCTAGTCTGGGGCAACGTTTATTTAAAACAAAAAAAAATCGTTGATTTTTCTGTTCACTTCATTTCGACTTGCGTATATCGATTTCTACTATGGAGCCAATTAGATAATTTACTTCATTGACTAATGTTTTAGACAACTCCCAATATGGAGGCTTTTATTCAACAGGGACCTGATGATGAGTATTTTCATCCTACATACATATACAATTAGTAACTACAAATTATCTAACTACATCTCAATGTGAACGCAGCCTTAGTCCGAATTAAATCTCTAGAACATTATATTTTATAAATGTTATCATGTAATAAAATAACCGATGACTAGTTCAATTGCATAATTAGTTCAATTGAGAACTCGTTATTATCAAATATACCTAATGTAATAATATTTATAAAAGTAAACATAGTAATTACGATATTTATTTTAATTATGTAAACAATATTTGCCAATAATTTTAACTTATCTCGAATTTAGTTTGGGCAGACGTTTGAAATTTTAATGGTGCTGAATTTAAAATAAATTTAAATACTCTATTAAAATTTGAAATAACTAAGTTATAACATTAAGTAGTCAAAGTCGTCCATAAATTAAATGTTACCATGAAACAACTACATACTTAATTTATTTTAACATAATATGTTATATTTACATTTTTATCCATATGACTAGGATCTTCGTGAATTTATATATTTAGTTCAACTGATCATGAATTAACAGAATGCAAGAAGGTTCAAAGATTATGTAAACATTGACATGGCTCTTATTACGTAACGTTAAGGTTCATTATCCTAGCTGTATCATAACTTGAACCCATTAATCGAAATTATGCAAACGATATGAATCTTCCTGCTGTATAGTAATGTACCATCGGCAAAGTTTACGGTAATACACTTTTTAAACAAAATCCTGTGGCAACCTAGCTATCCACCCTGTTTTCCATGTAGTCGCACGCGCAGAGTGCATGCGAATATCGCCTAATGATGGTCGACCGCCAACTTTGTCGATTGTACGACCATATTGCTAATTCTTAATTATTATTTAGAGCACTGATATCGAAATTAGATTCTGCAAAAAATTGAATATAAAGCTACTGCATTACTGATATTCTATTACTGATAGTATAAAAACAAATATATGGCAATACTTTTGTTAAAGACAAACCAGTAAATGTTACCAGTAATAAATTATTATTACGTAGTAGTACTACAAATACAGATATCAAAGAATGTTGGTACAAAAACTCTATCATAGATATAGGTAATATTAATTCATATTATAATAGAATTTTGATAACTGTGATGTAGAGTAATAATAATTACATTGTTCGTTCCTTCGAAAATGAAACTTGAGATAATAATATTGTACTTAAATTATCCATTTCTGTGCCTAAAACTAAAACTTGAAATTGACAAAGTACTTAATAAAGCATTAAAGTTTATATGTATAAAGTCTTAAGACTAAATTAAAATTGCGCAGAATGAAACAAAAGGGCATGAAATCATATAAGTTACGAACAAAATATGACCATACTATAAAAACATCTCTTACTTGTTGCAATGTCAATAGAATCTTAGGGCCTGTTTCATCAACTGCAAATAAGTACCTAATAAACTTATTTTATAGATACAATACAAATTACTTATCTCGTACTTGCATAGCAGAAGGTTAAGTACATTTTTTTACGTTAAATAATCGAGTAATAGTCGTTCGGCGCTCTGATTGATTGATTCATTAGAGCCGGCTATCCAGACTTTGTGAAACAGGTCCTAGCTTTTCAAATTTTAGGGTTGATGCCTGATACGGAGCCGCGGAAGACCTAACGAATTGCCAGGGCTCTAGATCGAAGAGCAGGAGTAGGAATTAATCAGTTAGAGTCTGACACTCCCTCTCACCTAACCCATGGCCGGAGAAGGCTTTTTCACCTCAAAAAAAAAACTTCGGAATTTAGTTGTGCAGTGTGTGTCCATGCAATCACCCCAAACAATTATGGCTTGACCATTTATGGCACATCAATTTATGTTCTATTTTCGATACTTAATAATTTTGTGCTAAAATTAAATACATAATGAATTTATTTATAATGTCTCGTTGTTAATATAAATGTTACTTAAGTATTTATTCATTTTGTAATCGTCTTATTTATTTTTAGATGTTTTTGTGAAGTTCCCATTCGAAATTTCATGTATTTCGAGGCTGCTCTAAACGAGATTGTATTTACAAAATTGTGCTTAATTTTATGTAAATGACGGATAAATAAATTATTTTTATTCACAGGGGATTTTTCTCCATAGCTTTAATATTTTGTGAACTACTTTTAATTTCAATTTGATGATGCACATTTTTTAATGTTTTTAATTTTTTTTGCTCTCGCAATATTATTTTTCTTTTATATTGCAACACTTTAGCACTGTTGTGGTACTATTTAAATAATGTTTTAATAAAACAACTTAATTTAGTAAACAAAACGTATTTTTATTTAATTTTTTCTCACTTAAAACAGTAAACTGGAATTACTTGTGTATAAAAATATTCTTACCTATATTTACAGACTTTTACAAAAATAAAAATGATTATGTTTCGTTACCGGTATTATTAGGCTTTACGTGTTTCCTAATGAAATCTTGGAACATCGCAACGTCTGCTGGACTATCATCTGAAAAAAATCATAAGTTTCATTTAAATAGAACATCATTTTACACAAATTGGTAGGTAACTCAAAACCCACGTTATAAATTATTTATCTAATATTCAGTAAACCTTTACATATCACTGTAGATTAATCGCGAATCTAAGCGTTAAAATGTAAAGTGTTTTTTTTTACATTGCCTCACATAGGGTATTCTCCTGTATCGTGGCTGCGTTTACAAACAATCAATTTCATCATGTCAAATTGTCAATTGTGTCATGTGAGTCAGACCCAAAATAAGAATTTGTAAATCACACAAAGAGTTGCTCCGTACGAGAATCGAACCAGCTACACATTGCGCGACAGCCAGTTACCGAGACACCACGCCAATTGTACAGTCAATAGATAGAAGATGTATGTAAAAAATCGACGAACAAATCAGTGTTTAGTCTACTATAACATAGTCTCAACTCAACTCAGCTCAGGTTCATTCTCGGTGCCCTCTTCATCGCTGGAACTCTCATTGGCTGGGTGCTTGAGGTACATATCACTGATCTCACGACCTGCCGACAACTCCTCGATTAGGCTCTTCTTGTCTATCACTGTGTCATCTGGACCTGGGAAGAAAGGATAATTTTGTTGGTATTATATACAGTATGAGTATTCTATGGTAATAATATAAAATAATATGGCGTTGTTTTGTTCACAATTAATTCCGCTATGCAGCTCTTTAATATTTACCTTTTTTCTTTAATTCCTCTGCTTTTCGTTTCTCCTCTTCTAATTTTTCTTCTCGCATCTTGAGCCAATCAGCTTTGTAATCTCTGGAAAAGTAAAAATTCGCTCATGAAATTATTTGTGTTTTTACTCAAACAAAAATAATATTATCTTACACATAGTCAAAGTCAAAGCATTTATTTTAATTAATCCTTAATTAGGCACTGTTGAAACGTTAAAAGTTTAATTGTCCATCCGTCTGTGTGTCAGTGAAGCTAGGCGCTCGTTTCAAATTATAGTGTCGAATGGAGAAAAACTAGGAAGAAGCTCCATCGTTACTCTTAAAAAAAATTACATACCTTTCGTATTCCTCTGCAGCATCATCCACTAGTTTAAAGAATTCATCTAGACCCTGTAAAAGAAAATTAATAACCATTACTTCACAAATTTTTTTTTCAAAAGTTCTACTAGAAAAATCAAAGTATGTTACCAAGAAAAATAGCAATTAAATCTTATCTTATACTATTTATTATATACAGCTAGAGAGTTTGTTTGTTTTTGTTTGAACATGGTAATCTCAGAAACTACCTACTGGTCATATTAGAAAAATTCTTGACTTGCCCATTTATCGAGGGAGGCTAAAGGCTATAAAAGATCACGCTACGATCATCTCAGCTAGGGATGAGGAATGATGAGCATTGCACCGTGAGGACTCCGGAGCAGGTCTCTGTTAGAGGACCCGGTGCCCCTCGCCCCGTGCCCCTGAGGACAGGTGTTGAGGGTGGCAACCGAGGTGGTTTTAGTGAGATACGAATCCCACACTCCCTGATCGTTTTCCCAAAAAGTTAGGCGCCTTTAGAATGTTTACCCAGTCAGCAAAAAAAAAAGGCGCCAAACAGAGCAAATGAAACCGCACGAAAGTAGATGGTATAAAATAAAAAGAATACTAACATCACCAGTATGCGCACTAACACCACAGCACCTGAGATCCGAGTAGAACGTATCAAGTGCGAGTGCCATGGACCTGGTCAGGTTACCAATGTAAGTATTTCCTCCTTCTGTCTCACTCTCGCCCTCCGCATCTAACGCCTCTTGAAACGCTTCGAAGTCCCGCATCCATTCCACTGCGTATGAATTGTCTACTACATCTGTCTGTAAACGGACATTTAATAAATATTTATGTAAGCAGCAAATTGCGTTTATGTAAGTACCTTTAGTAGGTAGAATAATTTTGAAACACTGGTGGTAAATAATAATCAAAGAATAATAATATTATGTATGTGAACTCATAATGTTTACAAATGCACCCTTAGGGTGTTTTTAATATCGTGCGGATTTCGTCACGCGTGCGGTATTGCCCCGCATGCAGAAAATTTCACGCAGCGTGAAACCCGATAGTCTATAATCTAGTTTGATGCGGGCTGCTATGCGTTGTGGTTGTGTACA